AAAATTAAATAATTTAAATTATAATTTTAAATCGAAATAAGTAGATGTTAATTATAAAAGTAAGTACATATAAATAAAGAATAACTAAATATATTATTATTATTATTATTATTATTATTTGTAATATAAAATTATTATATATTATTATTATAGTATAAATATGAGATTGTATATTTGAGGATGACTTAAATGAATTAATTTGTACAAGTTATACTGACAACATACATATACATTTCAGTAGCTTACTCATCAAAACTTCACAGTTAAGCGTGCTTAACCTGGAGTAGTACAGGAATGGGTGACCTTCTGGGAAGTTTCCCAGAAATTGCACAAGTAAGGATAAAACATGCTAAACAGTGAAATATCGTGAAATAAAATCCTTGAAAGGCCAAATATGAGGATTATTACATTAATAAATTTATTAAAATAAAATAAAAAATTATAATTTCCGACGGGTAAAAAAAGGGTTGTAATATTAATTTAGAGGCAGTTGGTGCGACAGTTGATGAAAGGGTCGCAATGTTAATATAGAGGCATTTGGTGCGACAGTTGATGAAACGGTCGCAATTCCAATTTTGCGACGGTTTGTGCAACGGTTCTGATAACCGTCGCAAAATTGCCTGGTGATGGACGATTCTGCGACGGTTCCCAAACCGTCGCAATGTTGTCTTTGCGGCAGTTCTAACCGTCGCAATGTAGGCCATATAACCGTCGCAAAATCGTCATTTTCTTGTAGTGAAACAAACAGTGTAGTAAAATAATGAATATATATTTTTAAATATCAAATTCAATTTTAGATTATTATAAATAAACATAAGAAAACTTTAATGTCTCAACTACGTGATTTAGTGCTTCGATATCAAACTTCTTATGCATTATAATTTGGTTTAAGAAAGCTAGTAATGGTGTATATATAGTTGCCTCCACTCTCTTGATAATTTTTAGTTGGTTCAAATAGTTTGTGTGTAATGCCATGATTGTCTTGTGAGATGCATATCCCTTTCTCTCTATGATTTTTTTTATTTGGTTCAATTGACTTGTGTATAATGTAATTATTGTCTTGTGGGATGCATATCTGGTAAATGTTAGATCAAATGAAAGTTCCCTATCATCAAGAATAGAATATTGATGTTGTTGATGGTCTATATGGTGATGCTCATATAAATATAGCTAGTTTTAGAGTTCAAATAGGATAAACAAAAAATATTTGTTTATATACACTACAAGAAAATTCGTTTTTACAGACGGTCAAAATTCGTGGGAAATGCCAAAAATCCGTGGGTAATAGTGCATTTCTGACGGACACTAATCCGTCGGTAAATTGCTCGCCTGAAATATTTATCGACGAATTTTTATCCGTGTGTAACTTTCTAACAGATTTTCCCACGGATTTATCCGTGGGTAATTACCCACGGATATTACCCACGGATATATCCGTGGGAAATTACCTTGAAGGAATTTTTCGTGAAAATTATAATTTTTTTTAATTTTAATAAATTTATTAATGTAACAACCCTTATATTTGGCCTCTCAAGGGTTCTATTTCACGATATTTCATTGTTTAGCGTGTTTTATCCTTATTTGTGCAATTTCTGGGAAACTTCT